TTGAGGGTCTCTGACGAACCAGATTAATCCAGGACGAACAAACGAGCGAACGAGGTCGATCCATGATGCAAACAGGAACATGAAACCAGTGCCAGTGAACCAGACGACAAAGAAGCCTGTGCATAATCGGGAGGGTGAGCGGTATGTCGCGTCGGTCGTGGTAGACTGGATCCTTACCTGTCAACGGTGCTCGTGTGTGAAAGGCGATTCGGCTGGCGATGGTAGCGTCCGGAAACAACGGCAGTGATGCCAGACCAAGCAAAACGCCGCACATGGCAGGGAAAGCGATGATCTGTCGTGAATGAGATTTGTCAGTCGGACATTGACGAGCAAAATGCAGCATCACGGAAACTGACCTCGACAAGGATAAAGGCGCCAACTTTGAGCAGAACGAATTGTTGACGGATGCCGTCGCGGACGGCCCTGTGCATCTGCTGGCTGTAGTCGCCTTGCGTGCTTTGAACGTACCAAGCTGCTCCGAAAAGCAACGCGACAAAGCCGAGAGCCACGCACAAGCCGGTATGCATCGGGTCTGTCTCGTAAGGCATGCGATGCCAGTGATCTGCAATAACTAGAAAGCCGCGACGAAGAGCGACAGCGGTTGGCAATGCGCTGGACCTTGCTGTCGCTGCAGCGGTCGAGTTGGCGGCGGTAATGATGTCGTCATGAGAGCGGTTTTGCCCGAGACGACTGCAGATATTGACAATGAAGGCCGGACCACTATTGCAGATGATTGTCGAAACGGGATGGATTGCTTTTGTCAAAGTCCGAACGGCGTTCGAAACCAGGCTGAGCGCCGCGTCAAAGATTGGATCTGAAAAGATGCGAACGAGGCGGATTGGCGACAAGGCAATCTTGATGATGTCCACCTGTGTGCAAATATGCAGGTCAGACGCGGAATACTGCAGTAATGACGAATATGACTGACCGCAGATAGAACTCGACCGATGCACAATGGAGCCCAGACTCCGCCGGCGAGACAAAGGGAGACGAGCAAAATCATCATGCTGCGATGGGACCATGTCAGCGACATTGCCGACCAGACCGCGCTTCGTCGGAGACTCACCCAACGTTTTGCACGAACGTCAAGAGCGATCCGCGCATGCCAATCGCTTCCAAAATGCCGTCGAGATCGTCCAAAAAGTCTTCTGCCATGCCCTCGCCGTCTTCTTCGTCGGCGTTGCCGTTGACAGCAGCGGCAGCAGCGGCAGGCACAGGGTCCGGTGGCGCCTGAGCCGGTTCTGGTGGCGGCACAGGTGCGAACAATTCTGGCATGTTCGCCAGAACTCCATTCGGCGGAACAACAGGCAGCTGTCTCAAGGCAGGATCTTGATTTACAGGTGGCTCTTGCGGCGGTCGCGGTGGCTGTTGATACAGAGGTGGCTCAAAGTCTTCGATCGACCGGCCTTGGTCGAGCGACGCGGAGTGAGCTCGACGGAACGGTTGACGAGTGTCGAGTAATGTCGATGCCGGTTCGGCACTCATCTGCCTCGATGGTCGACGCCGGATGCCGAAGCTGTCGGCTTCCGATGGATCGCGCTCGTCGTACCTAGCACGATGATACCGTGTTTGGCGGAAGGGTGCGTCGTCCGTATCGATCATGTCCGTCATGTTGGTTCCGAATGCCGAAGCCGCTGCCAAGTCGAACGGACTGGGTGAGCGACCAGTTTCAGCTCGCCTCAGTCTTGCACCGAGGTCGTGTGAGCTGCCTTGGCGTTCGTCATCTTGCGTCAGGTCAGCTTCCATCCGGATCTGCTCTTGCTGCCGTTCTCGAGCTCCCTCTTCCAGCGCGTTCACAAAATGGTCGACCGAGTCTCCAAGGCGGGCAGCGTTCAATGGTACAGCCGTATCGGCTTGCGCTATTGCATGCTCAGGCTGCTGTTCTTGTAGCTGCTGCTGCTGTTCCACCCCCACCTGTTGCGTCTGAAGCTGGTCGATCAATGCGGTCATCTCGTTTGGCGGCATTGCAGCAATCTGCGCGTCTCTGATTGGTGCCACGTGGCCACCTGCAGCGACAGCAAAGGCAGCGTCTTGATGTTGAGGTGCAGCAGGAACGTCCATGACGATCCATTCGCGCAAGAAGAAGCCAATGACAAAGACGATGACGACAATGGAGGTGATGATTTGGCCTGTGAACGTGTCGCTGGCGAGCGTGCTGCAAAAAGTAGCGGAGTGAGAACTCGACGTCAACGAGTTGGGGGCAGCGGCAGCTCACTTGAGTAATGACTTCCAGCTGTCGTCAACAGGTGCCAGAGCGCTTTGAGCGACGGCCAATGCTGTCAAGTTGCCAGAAACATTCGGACATGTCACGAATGATGGTCCAGAGGCAATCTCGGCTTGCGAGATGGCCTCGGTCGTTCGAGCGAGCAGGTGCAATCGTTCTTGGCTAGTCCAGTTGGCCGCCATCGCAGTCACGTTCGATAGCAAGCCATCTCGAATTTGTTCGACGGGGCGACCGTCGATGGCTTTTTTTACGACAGACATGGCGTTCGACACTCGACGTGTCTTGCCAGGGTCAGACAAGTGCGGTGGCGCCTTGCCAACGAGCAGCATTGAAACGATACCAACAGAGTCTGCCGCCCACAGGAGGAAGCGAAAGATCCAGACGATGCAATGTGGTAGCAGCACGAGCCATGAGACGATGACGAGTACGGCCCGTAAAGCGTACAAGATCCAACCGGCGACCGTCATGGCAAGATGTTGCGCGAACAAGCTTGGTGGCAATCTCGATGGCATTGCCGAGGAGAAGACTAGTTCGGCAAGTGTCAGCTCTTATGCAGTATCCGAAGCTCGAAGGAGAGATGTCACCTTTTTCGTAGGTCAACGGCGTGTTGCACAGCTCGCATTTTGGATTGTCGGTCGTCCCTCGCGCTTTGATCCAGTCATTGAGGCAGCTTTCGTGGACAAACTGCATGGAACGAATGTCAGAGAATGCTGGGATACAGCTGACAAACGTGCTCACCTTCATCGAGCCAGAGCATTGACATGGCCAGAACAGCGGTCCGTCTTCGGGCGCACCAGACCTGCAGACCCGACACACATCGGCTTCTTCGTCGTCGTGAGACATCGACCAGCTGTTGTAGGTTGGGAACGACGGCGGATCACTGCTGTCCATGACGTCGGTCTGCCGCGAGGAATTGTGGACCGAGCTGAGGGCGATTCAGCTGGTGCCGCTTGCAATTGAGCGTAGCTTCAGATGAGGGGATGCGCTACGTGTAGCGTCGAGCACGGCTCTGCAGTCGAGTGCCGCCGAAGGGTCCAGCTTGTGACCAGCTCGTGCGATCGAACGAAGGCGAAGACGCTCAAACTCTCCGACTCTTGTCGCCATGCCCCCATCTCGCGCAATGCAGAGTCGCGTGCAAACGATTGTATGATCCAACTGAACTAGTGAGTCAGACGCCAACGCGTGTGCCGCACGCGTTATAGGCGCAGCGCGTCACAATGTCGAGTCGCCAGTCGTCTGCGCACGGGCCACCTCAATTGGGCGAGTGTCTGCGAGACGCTTTATGTTCACTGGGCCGATCTGAAGCTATCGAGCACTTGACTTTTGGCTGTTTGAACCATCGGACGGACATTGTGCAAACATGATGAGCCCTGTCTGTTTGGGCATTTTCGTGATCGCGCACTCTCGTTGGCGAGCGGCAGCAGGTTGCAATTGGGCAGCGATGGTCGCAGTCGACTCGCCTGCGAACTCCTTGATCAAGGTGAACTCTTTGACCAAGGCAGGGCGCTGACGCCAGGTGGAATGTTCTGGTCCAGCGTTTGCGCGACCAATCCGGTCACCGCGACGCTCATGTTGATGGAAATGGACGACTGGCGATGCTGACAACACGCCAAAGTTGCCAGTGACGACGAGATTGCACGCGTGGCCTGACAAGCTCTTTCGCATCGGGTCGTGTGGCGACTCGACCACGTTGAATTCGCTTCAATCTTTTCGACGAGCTCGTCTGTTGAGGGGCATGTTGGATGAGGAACCCGAAAACGGTCTTGATCGACTTGCATGGTCTCCAAGACCACTTAACCTTGAAGCTGGCCACTGCAATGCCCGCAAAGAAAGCACTGATCAGGGGCCGCAGGAGGCAGGCTGCACACGACTGCACCCGCCAGTTCTACAAGCTTCTGTGTGGTCTCGTGGTAGTGTGGATTTTCCCAATTGAATCTGAATGCAACGACAAATTCAGCTCGATCTGGGTTATGCCAGCTTTGACATTGCCCAGACGAGCGCTCATCGATCGTCTTGGTCACTTGCAGCGTGATTGTCTAGTAGCCTCTTTGGACATCTGACAACTTGTCGGCGTCTGTGATACAACTTCATGTCAGCCAATGCCAAACATGGGAGGAAGGTGTGCAAACTCGCCCGATTTTTCGCCACGCAAGGCACGAGCAACTGCTGTAGGGACAAGTTAGCGTGTCAGTCCAACACGCATGGAGTCAAGTGCCAGTCTCACCGTCACTTCATAGAGTAGTGAACAACTCGACACTCAGTCTTTGTGACATTGAAGGAAGCCGAAAGCAACGACAGTCGCGGAATCAGGAAGCTTTGCTCGTACGTGCTCCCTTGGCGCTTGTATGATGGAATCGACGCTTGAGTAGTGGTGTCAGAGGTTGATCACGGCAGCTGCCGATGTTTCCAACGATCTTCAGCTTTTGCGAATGACTGCTCTTGTTTCGCGCTCACTTGTGGTGGCGTGTCAATGCACTGACAGAGGAGAATCGCTTGGGAAGCAAGTTTTGACAGTTGTCCTTCATCTGAAGCAGCATTCAGAGTCCTGGCAATCGAGGCTTGACCTTTATGCGAGACGCGAAATCCTGCGCCCTGCTCGTGGTCTTTCACATCAAGTAGAACTGCGATGAATTAGCTCGTTCATACGGTGCAATACGGCGCAATCAGGAAAAAAGTCGCTGTTACGATTACAAAAAAATGGGAGCGCGGTTCCTGGGGTATCGGCGGTGCATCTTTCGAAAGAGGAAAAAAGCACAACACCCGAAAAAAGATAACTCGACGGTGGCAGGACTCGAACCTGCGCCCTCAGAGAGGAGTAGATATCGAATTGGATTCAAGTCTACCGCAGTAGACCGCTGTGCCACACCGTCTGTGGAGCTTGGTGTCAAAGTGTGCAATAATATATACATTGCATCTTACTGAATACGCTCAAATCGCCCAAAATTCCTGCTCCAGGTCACCGAAATTTCTCTACCGCTCAATAGGTGGTGTCAAATTACTATCAAGTCACCTACAGCCCTTGGAATCTTGGAAACTCTGCGAGCTACGAATCGATGTCTCGTGGGGCGACATTCTTTTGCAAGACTCGAGCCAGCCCACATAGCATTGTGCCCTTCGACCAGGACTTGAAGCTAGAGCAGCCTTCAGGACTCGGGATGGCCCCTGTGCCGTTCGCGCACTCCGACTCGCCACTAGGCACATTCGGCATGCAGCCTACAGCAATGTCTCTCTTACGCGAGTCGCACGACCTTTGCTTACAGCGTGGATTGGAGCACGCTCTTCTTGTGAATCCTTTGCGGCCACCTCTTGTCGCATGGCGATCTTGCTTCGTCTTCCTGAAAGTTTTTTTCTTGCGAATGTCAAACTAAATGGCAAGGAATGGTCAGTATTTTTGATCCGGTGCCCAGAATCGAGGCTCGGTGGTGAAGTAATGAAACACATCGTGAATGATAAAGATGTTGCAGCCCTGGACGGTGGAGGCAGACACAAGTGCGCGAACATAGTCGGGCTCGCGCGGCGAACCACAAGCGTAAGCATCTCGTTGTAGTCGATGCTTGCATTATGACTGAAATCTTGAGCGCAAAGCGGGGTTTTGTGGATGATCGGCCGTCAGTGTTGATCGCGTATGGGTCGTAAGCCAAAATGGTGCGGATGAGAATAGCATGTCTGCTCTGCTGATGGCGCTGAAGACCTTGTGCTGATCGCGTGTTTCGATTATCTGCGACGAGTTGCGGACGTGTTTGACTGCAATGAAGCAACTCGTAGATAAAAAAAAAATTCTTTCTAGCTGATCAAGTGCTTAGTCAAGCAGCAGAGTTTGATTCGACCGACAGATTGGCAGTTTTTTTTTGTCTACGAGTTGTTTCATTGCATTGCCACTATCTCGACAAGCAACTGATCAAGCAGAAGAAAGGAGAAAATTTGCTTTACGCACGAAGGTCGCCGTATACCAACAGTGTGGGACTAGCAGTCAGAGGAGAACATTTCGATTTGTGAGTCGGATAATGTCCTCTGCTAGTTCCACACTGTTACGACGACCTTCGTGCGTACCGCAGTTCTCTTCAAATTGCCTTTCTTCTTCTCTGTCTAGACAGTGACATTGTGACGACACGACTCAAAATAAAGAAGAAACTCCCCGTTGAGTGTGTACTCGAAGCTTGCACAACGTCAATGGCGGCTTGATGATGTCTTCGCATACCTTCGATTCGAGACTTTGCTACGACAAATAATTGGTTGTTGTGAAGCCTAGAGTGTGCTACAAAAAAACAAATCCTTTCACTTTCAAAAGCGACAGCTTATAGAATCAGTCAAATCAAACATGACCAACATGAGACCAGGATGATAGTTGATACGGTTGAAGATTAGACTAGTGTGCACGACTTTCCCGTCTCCTACCACCTCTTGTTGATCGTCGATGCGGTAGATGAGAGCCCCCCATGGTTCACGATTGCGCTCTCGTTGCCGACGAGCCTCATGCTGGTCATGTTTAATATGATTGATTTGATGAGAAGATGGTTTGTCCTCGGCCCTCTTGGCCCCTTCTTGCTTCTGCAACGCACCCTCCGCCGTCCACCTCGAAGTGAGCGTTTCCGCCCCGTCCCGCACGGGGTCAGGCGGGCGCAGACCTGTCTTGACACTGTGGAGCATTGACGTGTGTGTATTGATGTCTTTGTTGTCTCGGTTGTCGCTTGTCCGGGCAGGTCGTTTGAAGATTCAGGCGACGAAGGTGAAGGCCAAGCACCGATTGCTTATGCACGGCACACGATTTGGCTATCCTTCCACCGACACGAAAAGGACCAAACAGCACTCCTCAAGTCCAAGACGCATGGATAGCCAAGCCGACAGCGTGAGTCGACCGTCAGATCAGAACCACTTTGCCTTTGACTTGTGATTGTCGACTTCGATTCGGCCTGCCTGAAATCAGCAGAGAACCAATGACGAGAGACCAAACGACTCTGTACGCAGGCAGCGGTGCTCACCCCGAGCCCAGCTGGCCCGTGCACCCGCAACGCGAGGCTTTCACACCTCTTGGTTTCTAAACCTTGCATCTAGGCCCAGGTTTCAACTGGTACCGCCTGAACTCTTCACATTTCAAGTTCAACGCGCAGATTGCTTGTCCTATTGCTTTTGCAAAGTACCGAGTCTGCTTGGTCTGGTCTCACGCGACCTCCGGGCGTCGAGCGGCGCTGTTACCCTGTCGCTGAGGGGCAGTCCATCTTTTAGTGTGAGTGGCGATAGTTGGATGACGATATTGTCATTTTGACGCTTGTATGCAGCGGTCAGTTGCAATGTTTCGAGCACTTTCTTGAATGGCCAACAATGGCCAGAACGAAACGAAGTGACTGAGCCAATGTCGGCATCGTGATGTCGGATCAACTGCCGCCCGGATTGACACCGCTGGTCCCAGTATTTCGAGAAGTTGAGAGCGTGATTCGAGCTCTTTGCCCACTCGAAACATGTCGGCATGCTGTCGAACGGGTTTGATGAGCCACATGTCCTTGTCAAGTCCACCAACGCGTTGATGTCACAAGGAGCCCTCCACAGCACGCCACGAGCGATGTGCATGCTCAAGTGCAGCCTCAGACAGTTGTGAGATCCGAAGGTGTGCTCTTCTATGGGTCAGAGCCACGTCGCGGCGTTTCCGACAGCTCAGACATTCCGAGCTCGGGTTGAAACTGTCGATTGCACACATTTTCGAATCAGCAAAGCCTGCTATGTATCACGAGCACGGTATGGGATCTGTGATGACTCACAAACTGTCGACGACAGACAGATGGAAGCCGTGCTTGACGCGACTCAGGCGCAAGCACTCGAATGTACACTCGAGTGTTGGGACAGGATCAACATCGACGACTAGCTCAAGTGAGGTGGGCCTGGGCCGGTCGAGTTGACTCAGTCATAGACGCTGGTGTTGAGTAGCTGTTGCGTCCAAAGTCAAACCGTTCGGCGCTCGCTGCCGCTCTGACCCAAACCTTGTGCACTCATGGCTCCACCGACCGAGTTCGCGGCGCTTGAGCCAGCGCTGCATCCACTGCTCTTGAGGGCATTGTCGACTCTGCAGTTTCCTGTGCCAACACCTGTCCAGGCTACCTTGATCCCTCTGGCGCTGTCTTCGACTCGCGACATTTTGGCACGAGCACGCACTGGATCCGGCAAGACATTGGCATATGCCATACCACTTGTGCAATCAATTCTACATCGACGAGACCGAGGGGAACTTGGTGGGACGCGCAGTTTGGTGCTCGTACCAACGCGAGAGTTGGCCGAGCAGGTTAAAGGCCAGCTGCACCGCTTGATCGAAGGGCTCGGACTCGATCAAGAGATGATCAAAGTCGTCAATGTTGCAGGTCAAGATCATACACGCAAGAAGCGCAAGACTGGATCACACGATCGCACAGAACGGTGCGCATTTGTCTCGCCGCTATTTTTTTGAGCCGGCGAGCACGTGACTGATTGTCATTGTCAAACACAGCATGCAGCTCGCGGATCGACCCGAAATAGTTGTGTCGACACCTTCACGAGCTTTGACACATTTGCGAGCAGAGGTTCGTAGCCAGCGACACGCCAACACGTTCAAGAGGGCTCACTTCTTACCTGCTCGCTTTGCCGCAGACTTTGCACCTTGAGCACCTCGACCATCTCGTCATTGATGAAGCAGACTTGATCCTGTCATACGGCCATTCGTCAGAAGACATCAGGTCGATCTTGACCGGACCTTGGAATTTGCCCAAAATTTACCAAACCTTTTTGATGTCGGCGACCATGACGGGCGAGGTCGACGAGCTCAAAGGCATCTTGCTCAAGAATCCTGTAAGTGGATAAGACTTGAATAGTATAGAAAGACAAGCTGACTCCATCACGCAGATCATGCTCAAACTGGAAGAAGACAAAGACGAGTTGGCCAATCTGTCACAGTATTGCGTCAGGTCAGTCCCAACTTTCGTTGCTTTCGCCCTATTCAAACTGACTCTGAATCTCGCTGTGGACCGCTCAGGTGCTCGGAAGAAGACAAGTTCCTGCTCATCTACGTAATCCTCAAACTCCGCTTGATCAAAGGCAAATGTCTCATCTTTGTCAACGATACGGATCGAGGATACCGACTCAAACTATTTCTGGAGAAGTTTGGCATCAAGAGTGGCGTGCTCAATGCAGAGCTGCCTTTCAATTCAAGGTGAAGTCAGCCGCTATTCCATCGAGCGAACTTTTCTGATCAAGACGAACTCATTCGCAGATATCACGCCGTGCAAGAATTCAACCATGGCGTGTTTGACTATCTCATCGCAACAGACGAAAGCGGCCTGGAAGGTAACGACCGTGACGAAAACAAGACGGAAGAGGACAGCGAGCCAACGCGTGAGTTGCCGTTCGTCTGAATCGAGTTGTATTCAATGCTGAAAAGGATAGTCTTTTGCCTACAGTCATTTCGACACAGCCGAGCGACACTCAAACAGAAGCCAACGCAAGCTCAGCCCAGCCGTCAAAGAAACGCAAGAGAAAAGACGATCGTGGCAAAGTAACCGCACCCGAGTACGGCGTCTCACGAGGTGTTGATTTTGTCGACGTTGCCTGCGTTATCAACTTTGACTTGCCGTTCTCGTCTCGATCGTACACTCACCGTGTCGGACGAACAGCCCGAGCCGGACGAACAGGCACAGCACTCAGTTTCATCGTGCCGAGAGAGCTCTGGGGAAAGAAGAAACAACACGATGTCTCACTAGAGACGGCCAAACGAGACGAGAGCGTGTGGCAGAGAATCGAAAAAGCTCAACGAAGTCGTGGTTCAGAGTTGAAGGAATACAAGTTTGACATGAAGCAAGTCGAAGGTTTCAGGTATCGAATGGAAGACGGATTGAGATCCGTGACCAAAGCG